GAGTGCCAAGAGAATCCTAACCGGCCTAACGTCCGGACTTTGGCTAGGACACTTCAAAACATTCAGTATTTTATTTTTGAGCCGTTTTGCTGTTATGTTTCCAATCATCGTCCTGCTGACTGTGTCTTTGGTTTTGGGCATGATGTGTTGCTATGTATTTTTAAACACGTCTGGCAGTAATCTGCAGTGGGTGTGGTCAGTGAGACTGAACTCAGCTTTCCAAAATTGTGGTTAATCAGATTTAACAGGTGGGTGTTTGTCTTCACAAGAAACGGGTAGGTGTGGATAGTTTGTTTTTTTTCTCCTTTCATCAGCTAAATAATATAAAAAGTGCAGTTTTTAATTGCTCAGATTATCTTTCTCTAATATTTGTTTGATCTGAAATGTGTGAGAAACTAAATGGATAAATGGAGGTTGTTATAATTTTTACAGCAGTGTAATTGCTGTTTGCATCACTGGAGGCGAAGACACACGATCAGTTTCTGCAGTTATTCTATCATCACTTTCATTGGAACCATTTACATCATGTTATTTTTTTTCTGTAAATATAAAAATAAAGAATAATGCTCACTACAACTTCCAGATTGTTTTGGTTAATAGCTTGCGTGCTCTTTTTGTTGCTGCTGATATTCTCAGACTTGAAATGAGACTGTATGCCTCAACACACTTTGTGCTTGTGTAGGAAATGACCCATGAGGAGAGGTCACTGATTCAAGATCTTGATAAGTGTGACTTTGGAGAAATCCATGCCATGCATAAAGCCAAGACAGAGGCCAGGAAAAATATGTCCAAGGAGGAGAAACAGGTAAAGCTCGCGTTCCCTTCTTTGTATTTGTATGCTGCTGTCTTCATAATGTGTAGCGTAATAACTGGAGTTAGTCCAGAGGAGCGCCCTGTCTGTTTCTGAGGTAACGCGATCTGTATCTGAAATCTTTTTGTAGGCTTTGAAAGAGGCAAACCAGAAGATAGTGGATGAATACGGCTACTGCCTTCTGGACCACCACAAAGAACGCATTGGCAATTTTAAGATTGAGCCTCCGGGGTTATTCCGAGGTAGAGGCGAGCATCCCAAGCAAGGCATGCTGAAGAAGAGGATCCAACCAGAGGACGTCATCATCAATTGCAGCAAGTGAGAGTTTGATTGTGAAATCAGTGTATAGTTGAGTACAGCTTTAGTTTCAGTCCCCTCCGTGTGCCCTTGTGGCTGAATGCAGAGCAGTGACATTTTCACTCAAAGAAACAAGTTCTTGATACACAAACTGTTTAAATGTGTAGAATCACAGGCTTGTTCAAATCAACATGACTAATATTATTTTTTCTTGTTACTTCTTTTAGGCTTAAATCTGTATTTGAGCTGTGCATCAGTGCTGGTCATTTACATACTGTATTGCACTTGTTCTTGCTCTGGCAGAGAATCTCGTATCCCCGCACCACCCGCTGGGCACCACTGGAAGGAAGTTCGACACGATAACACCGTGACATGGCTCGTCAGCTGGACTGAAAACATCCAGGGCTCCAATAAGTACATCATGCTTAATGCCAACTCAAAACTGAAGGTGAGCTATCTGTTGCATAATGGGGGGGATGCACATACAAGTGGGTACAAAGAAACATGCTGTCAGAGCTGCAGACTTTGGGTTCAACAAAGTTCAGACTACTTTGGCAGCACAGTTCTCAAACTGGTTTTGGAAAAAACTAGTATCTCAGATAATTAGAATATTGTTAGATTTGTATTGTTGATTGTCATTTATGCTTAGAAATATTTACTTATATACTAAGATCAATTCATACATTTAAAATACAGAAACATCCAACTTCTGAAGCATGTGTTCAGTCACTGGTTGATGATTCTTTACCATAAATGACTTCACTGTGTGC